GCCTTCTCAGCAGTGATTGGCTTACCTTTCCCCTCCCATTTTGCCAGGTCCAATCCTGGGCTTGGAGGGTATCTGGGAAATGTAGGCCCAGAAGTAAAGTTTACCGTGGGGCCCTGATGCTCCATTGTAGGGTTTTGTAAAAATAGAAAAGATGAATGGGCTGAAGAATACTGAGGCCCTTTGGGATGCACAGCTTATGCCTTACTCTGAATACGTTCCTGACTTTTCCCCTCCCTCTCTCTACCAAAGGAGATCTATCTTAACGTGAGGGTTGGCTTGGAGAAGTACCATGAAAACCTCGCGAAAATAGTGGACAGCCACACATCTGCAAGAGAAGGCAAAATTCTGGAGCTGGAGACCTTGACCACATCATTCCACCCTTGATCTTCATACTCTTACAATGTTTATTTTCTCACTGTAGGAAACAATGTTAAGAGTAGTTTTCCCATGGCATTCGTGGTGGGGCGGGTTGACCCCCCTTTTAGTGCTGAGTCGTCTAGCACTGATCAGTCCTGCTGGGTGGAGAATGTGCATCCCTGCTTCATTTTATTTTGTCAGCCAGTTCTTCTTGCTTAAATTTGTGGCACAGCCTGTTGGCTGCAACAAGTTCTAGAACTTGCACGGAAGCAGGAAAAAAAGAGGGGGGCAGAGTGGAACCGGAGGGCGTCCTGATTAAACGTCTCTATGAAGTGGCCACCCTGAGGCAAACAGCCAGCATGGAAGCTTCAGTCACTGCCACAGGCCTGCCGGGAGGTGTTGTTGCAGCTTAATAGGACCATGTTGTCTGTTGTGGGAAGACCATGAATGTCTCCGCCTAATATGCTTCTGATGCACCATTCTTGCCCCGCATTTATGTCTTGAGTGCCAGGTAACACCTGAGCAGAAGTTTTTTGAGATACATTAACATGGAAAACCTTTTTTTAAGTCTTGTTAACTCTGCTTTTAGTAGAGGCTTTTGTATAAAAACTAACTGATCACTTGCATTTGACTTTGATGCTCTCATTGCCCTGCCTTAAAAATCATTAAATGTCAAAGATTCAAAGCTTTCCTATGATTACCCTGACTGATGGAAGAGAGAGAGAGTAGTCTGGACTAATGCAAATGTCACAGTCTAAAAGATCTAGCCCCTTTCCCTTCAACCTGGTCCTTAACCTCCAGGTACTTAGGTAGGGAATACTTTCTTTTGGCTGCTTCTGGTCTCCTGACTTCAGCATGCGCATCGATCAGTGTCAGGCATCTATACCTCATGGCAATATGAATGAGGTCTGACATGTATATACAGGTCTCCCATTTACCTGTCCCAGTGCCGGTCTCCCACCACTGAGGAACTAATCAGGAGGGGGGAAATGCCTTTGAAGTGACATTCTAGGTATTTCCCCCTAGTCTCTGGTAAAAATAATGGAGACCAGAGGAGGCAGCCTTGACCATCACCTGGCAATGAAGTCACACCTTTTCCAAAATCCACCATCCCCAGACACCACTCCCCAAATTTCCCAGCATTGGCCAAACCAGTGTTGGGCACCCTACCAATATATGTCTCAGGTGTTTGTGTCAGAGGTATTGATTATATCCTGGTCCTGTATCCCATTAATCAAGGGGTTGGATCCAGCCAGCCTTTTCACTCAGTCTCACCTAATTCCTCTGTCCCAAATGGTATTTGTATATGCAGATCCCATTATCCTCAATATAGTGATCAAGGAGTCCCTCCTTCCTTTCTTACCTGCTTAAAATCTGGTTGGATACAACCCAAGGTTCTTCAATTAACCCATCTGGCCCCTTGATCTTCAAAATAGTGTGTTGATGTTGAGAGTTCGTTTCTCTGTCCAGTATTGTATGACAACATACGGGCTGTTAAGCCTAAGCGATATACAATCTGTTGCAATGCTTTTGAAGATGCAGATAAATGTAAGTGAGTGGGACTGGGTTATGTTCAGGCAGTATACCAGTTCCTGGGGAAGGTGCCACAGCAAATGACAGAAAGCTTGATGCAAAATGTTCCATCCTGAGGAGCTTCTTCACCAAGCAGGATTCCTGCATGAGAAAGGGTTGCCAGACTGCTTCCTGTCCTTCCCGAAGCCTCCTGAAACTCGGGTTCCTTAGCCGATACTGTATTTGGATTGATTCTTTGGTGGTCCAGGAGTGGGGCAGTCCTCCAGACTCCTTACTCCTGGGACCTAGCGCCTCCTTTCCATAGGCAGGGCTTGGCAGACTCTTCAGTTAGGAGGGGAGGAGCTTGTCCCCTGGACTTCCAGTCTTTCCGGCCCTGCCTTCCATGCAGGACGTGGCAGACTGTACTCCTGTTGAGCACACTACAGAGAGAAGACCCAACAAGGGGAAAGGAAGGAAGAAGAGTAGAGCAGGTATCTTACACTCCAAAGGAACCCTTCCCCCCTCGTCTCGAGCTGTGGAGAAGAGCAGCTCCATTGGAACAGCGCCTGTGGACCCGGGAAACCCCTGGGAACCGCGGCGCTGACGTGATCTCCACTGATGGTCCCAGCCTGAGGGGAAGCGGACCGGTAGGGAGCATGCTGAAGGGCGGAGAGTCACCAGCGGTGGCAGGAAGGCCATGGCGCAGCCGGAGAGTCACCACACGGATGCTTTAAATCAGCTCCTTGTCCTGGCAGGACATCGAGGAAGGCTGATTCCAGGCCTGGTCTGCAGAAGTACAGTAAGAACTCCCCTGGACCGGGAAGCCTGCACTTTGGGCAAGGCCCTCCCCCCCCACACACACACTTGGGTTAAGGCTGCCTCTGCCAACCACCTAAAGGAAAAGGGAATGTAGAAATTGGGGGGGACGACCAATTTTGGGGAAATAAACCTTTTCACTCCTCAGTCAAGTAGGATAGTGAAAAAAAGAGTGGGAGGTGGCCATTTTAGTTGAGATCTATTACTTTCATTTTCAGGAAACACAGAAAATGGCCACCTGTCAGGTACCTCAATAACTCGCTGAGTTGAGCACATGTGGAGGGGAAGATGCCGTCGATGCTAACAGCAGGTCCTTAAACAGGTTCTGCTTTATTGATCAGAGAAAGGTGAAGTCATCTTAGACTCTTTGAGTCAGGAATGAAGCATACAAAATGGCCATAGTAATTATAGTGGGTTCATACAACCCCCCCTGACACCTAGAAGCCAATAAGCACTTAATATGGAGTGCGGGGAACTGGTTAACGGTTCATAGGTGAGCGGGAGACAGCAGAGGCTTCGCGCCAAAGCAATGAGCGCTCAAGGCCAACGGCCAGATAAGAGGGGCAGGAGTGAGAAACAGCTGCAGAGAATTACACATTCCAGAGTCAGAGAAAAACACCATGGCGGGTCTACCCGACACCAAGGCTGGATCTACACAGGAGCTAGACTCAGCCACCTGTGAATTCGATCTGGCTAAGTCCCCTACTGCACAGTCACAAGTGGCAGGGGAAGAAGCTCAGACTAACCTCTCCTGGTTAAAGTTAGAGATGAGGAAGGAATTCAGAGCTATGTGGTAGGAGTCTCAAAGTGTATCCCAGGAAAGAGACAGATGCCCTCACACTTCCCAAAGTTACAAGAGACAGAGTTCTAATGACATAGAATCTGGCCTCAGTGAGAAAAAGAGAAAGAAAGCATCTGAAACCCAGAGAGAGTATAGTCCTTTTCTTGGTGAGCATGCATCTGATTCAGAATCTTCTTGCTCTGATTCTCCCAAAGAAGAGGGTGAGCTTTCTGCGGAGGAAGAGGAAGTTGTGCCTGTAGTGCAATCTAGACTCTTCCCCCAGGAACTTTACAGCAGACTTCTACCTAAGGTCATCAGAACCTTGGAGTTATCTTACACTCCGAAAGAGCAAGAGGAGGAGGACATTGATTTCCCCATAGGCTCAGAGAAAAACTATGCCCAAATCAATGAGGGGTCCACTGCCAGCTGCATGCTATTAAATCATGAAGGCAGAGTGGGAACACCCGGCAAAACCAAAAGCTACTCCCCCATCCTTTGGCAAGTTCTATTCTCTTATTCCAGAGGCGTCAAAGAAACTTAGACTTTTTGCAGTAGACGAGCCTGGTATCCACCTCGGTTCTGCCTATGGGAGCAGATGGTCTTTTGAAAGACCACAGTGACAAATGCATAGAACAAGCGTTGAGGACAGACTTTGAAGCGTCCGCAAATGCCTTCAGTCACTGGTTCCCTCTTTATAAGGGCTGCTTATGCATGGTCCTCTGATCTGGCAGAGGTGGACAGTGGCATTCCCAAAGAATTAAAAGGCGAATTCAAGAAGATAGCTCTCGCTACAGCTTTCTCAGCAGACGCCACCCTTGATGCAGTGCAGCAATCCGCCAGGAGTATGGTTTCCAGAGTCACAGCGAGACGCAATACCTGGCTGAGGAGCTGGGATGTGGATCCTTCTGCAAGGGCCAAAGTGGCAGCGGTGCCCTTCAAAGGTACTAGTTCGGTGAAGGTCTGGATAGATACCTTATTGAGGATAAGGACAAGAAAAAAGTGCTTCCATCTGTCAGCAAGCTGCCATTCTGTTTTCTGTGACCTCTGTGTACATATCCTTTCCCTGTTGCACCCGGCTTGTTTTCTATCATCCTGCTCCTGCGTTGGAATGCACAAGATAACTGCTGGAGGTTGTGTGGGGGAGAAGATGCTGTAATGCTTGCCTATTGCTTTTCTCATGAGTACTGCACCTGTGTTTTGTCTGATGTTCTGCCTGGTTCCCATGGACTGGGCGCGCAACCGTTTCATTAGCCCGCCAGCGGGAAAGCTATTCATTGGATCTGTATCTGTTTGAAGTTCCTTTATTATGCTTGACCTAACTGTGTATCCCCAGTTCTAACAAAGAACGTGTTTGAGTATGTCTTCAACGCTTTGAAATAAATTTTGCTTTTCTTGAAAACGTGGATTTATTCTCGATGCTTGGGGATCCAACATATTGTTAGAACTCCCTTTCTCCTATCGTTCCGAATCTGGCAAGATCATGAGCGGAACTGAGGGAAACCTACTTAACACGGAGGGGGACTCAGGATCGGCATGAAGGCAGAGTGGGAACACCTGGCAAAACCAAAAGCTACTCCCCCATCCTTTGGCAAGTTCTATTCTCTTATTCCAGAGGCGTCAAAGAAACAGGCTTTTTGCAGTAGACGATCCAATCAACAGCCTGGTATCCACCTCGGTTCTGCCTATGGGAGCAGATGGTCTTCCGAAAGACCACAGTGAGGGAGAAAAGTTCACTAACACCATCTTAATCCCTTCTGCATCTGGGAGTACAGATCGACACAGTGAGGGACAGAGTCCCTTCAGTCACTGGTTCCCTCTTTATAAGGGCTGCTTATGCATGGTCCTCTGATCTGGCAGAGGTGGACAGTGGCATTCCCAAAGAATTAAAAGGCGAATTCAAGAAGATAGCTCTCGCTACAGCTTTCTCAGCAGACGCCACCCTTGATGCAGTGCAGCAATCCGCCAGGAGTATGGTTTCCAGAGTCACAGCGAGACGCAATACCTGGCTGAGGAGCTGGGATGTGGATCCTTCTGCAAGGGCCAAAGTGGCAGCGGTGCCCTTCAAAGGTACTAGTTCGGTGAAAGTCTGGATAGATACCTTATTGAGGATAAGGACAAGAAAAAAGTGTTTCCATCAAAGAAGAAGGAGGGAAAGGAGAAATCCTCAGTCCTTTCGTTATTCCAGAAGGGAGAGCAAACCTGGATATTCCAAGACCTTTAGGGGAAAGTGGCAGTCTTTAAGTCCAAAGGTGGCAGATCATTCTCCTTCTCCACCAAACAGTCCCAAAACACCAAGCGTCAAAAGAAAGGAACCTCAGCATGACTATGCCGGGGGTATGATCAATATAGGCGTGGGGGGGCACCTCCAGAGTTTTGCACAGGTATGGCAAAAGACAGTCTCAGACCAATGGGTCATGGAGTTAGTTGTACAGGGCTGTTCATTGGAATTCCTGTCCTCCCCTCCAAATCGTTCTATGAAATTGCTAAGAAACAGGTCAAGGGTAAAACATTTACAACTGGAGGGTGCCATCTCATATCTGTTAGCGATAGGAGTGATAGAGCCAGTACCCCTCTCGGAG